TAGATCAGCAGATTGAGCCAGCGCACACAAATAAATACACACGAGGCTCCGGGGGTCACAGGTCATATTTTATTGGGCTGTTTTCTTCCTCCCTGCATTTGATCTGTTAAATATAGAGGAAGTGGGGTCAAAGATGTCAGGAGAGACAGGACACTTTAATCAAGGCTGAACAACAGAATCAAAAATAGTGAATAAAGCAAAAACCTGAACAGTTAACAGATGTGCAGGCCTCACAGATAATCATCACTTTTGTTTTGGTTGAAACTGATTGTGACATATTTTCCAATACATGGGTTTGCTTTTACACAAAAAGACAGTGAAGACATGCATTTTTATTTTTGCTTGTTTACATCGCAGGCAACATAACATTGTGTATGAAACTCAAATCTCATAACCTTATTTTAACCTCTGGTGCCATTTGGAAATCTGAAAATAACAATATGCATCAGATTTTACTGAGGCACAGTATTAGTTGACTGTGTTAAAAACATCAGGTTCAGGGTTTTTCATACCAACATACTGTATTAGCATCACAGTTAAGTACAGAGATTTGGTTTTACACAAAAACATGCATTTTTATTTTATTGTGTATGTTACGATGAGTATGATGCAATGAGGGTTGAACAACATTTTTCATAAAGTTATTTTAACCTGTGGAGCCAATTACAAATGATGGAAACCTGGAAATAACAGTAAATTGGACATAATATTTTACATTGGGCTCAGACATTTTTGTAAATAAACATATAGACATACTGTGTAAGCATCTCTGTGAGGACTTTATGGATAAATGGATTACAGATATTTTGAGTCTTGAGGAATAAAATGATCTTTGTCACCATTATGCCAATTCGATTATTTTAGATTAACAGATGATACAGTGATCAAGCTGTTTACCTTTAGCACTTCGCCCTCTTTGCTCCTTGTCTATAAAACATCTCTTGCCTCTGTGTGTGTCCAGGTTCCTCGGTTGTGTTGGTCGTCCTCTGGAGTTGTTGCTCGCTCTGTGCAGAAACCCGGGATGACCTTGACTTGTAGACAAGTGACACCTCACTTGGGGTATTTGACAAACTGACACTCACTGAAACAGAGTGTCCAATTCAGCTTGTCAAATACACTAAGTGGGGGGCCTGATCGGTGGCTCTGCAGGATAAATGAACAAAACACTGCCACCACACAAACCAAATCACAAGACGTGATACACAAAGATACAATCTCTTGGCTGTGCATTTTAGAAATGAGATGCCAGTCTGTTACCTGTTGCTGCTGAGGCAGAGGGGTCCGAGCGCTGAGCCTCTACCCTCACTGGAGTTCACTGTGATGACACTGTGTGCACAAGACAATTCATTTGACCATTAAGCCTCAGCAGCACAAAGAGGAAGTCAAAACAAGGAAGATAAGTGCAAAGCTAGCTCTCAGGAAATATGTGGAAATAAAGTGTCAACATGTCATGGTTGTGAAATGCCGTTGAAGGCTCTCGTGGCTCACAGCTTTGGAGATAATGGTTTGCTGAGATGAATTTGTCAGTTGGGCTCAACTTCCTTGGCTTCTTTTTATCTTACTATTCAGCATTATGTGCTTGTATGTACAGGTTCATGACACTGAAAATTGTCATGGAAGTAGTAATGTACAGTAGAAACGAATTGATGACTAATTCATATCTGTCGTGCAATAAAAGATTTCATCCCAATACCATCAGAATCAGATTTACTGGCCAAGTATGTGAGCGCATGCAGGGACTTTGACTCTGGTTTAGCTTTGCTCTGAATCTACTTATAGTAAACAACATGCAGTGAACATCAAATTAAGAATAGCAGCAAAAGAAACAATAAACAACATTTATTCTAAAATGCTGGATGAAGAATCGCGAAAAAAAGAAACAATAGACTATACAAAGAGTGATGAGTGTGGAATGAATACACCATGACTCAGCTAATCTGTATGCACAAGTAGTGCAATGATAAAAAGTAGTGCAAAGAATTAATAAAACGATTGAGTGAGTGCCTTGGGCTGCTTATTCTACACTGATAATAATTTATTCTGCAATTTTAAACCGTGTCTCCTCCTGCTCTGTTAACCGTCATCGTTCCTGTTCCAAGGACGAGCGTCACTGTTTGGTCTGCACCGCTGAGTGGTGGTCCGCCCATACGACTTCCTGTCAGACGACATAACCAGTCCACCCCTGCAAACATTTCATAACTTCAGGATGGACGTACAGTCAAGTTATATTTTTATTGACATCTTATTTAACATCATCATCATTTCGAACAACCAGAACGTTCCACACACCGTGCCGCTCAGTAACTTCCTCATGTCACAGTGCATCATGACTCACTGGCCTGACTTCCCTGTACAGATACAGCTGTACTGTATGTAGAGCATAAACCCTGAATGTATAATAAGTGTTCAGAGTGGACTGCAGTGTGAGAGGAGAGTGGGAGGCTCAGCTGTTACAGTGTATCTGTGCATGCCAGCCTAATTGAATATGTTCTGCAGATCAGTGTTCTCTCAAACAGGGAACACGACGGCTGTGATGAGCTCAGACAGCTGGGGGAGGCCGAAGAGGGCAGAAGGCCTAAACTGAGCTTGAATATCTATGAGTTCAGTGTGCATGCTCTGTACATCGTTATCTCAATGTATGACATGACACATGCAGACACAGAAATGCACACTGCTCTGTACTTGAGCTTAATGCTAACATCCCATGTCTCTTGCAGTAGACATGCAAAAAGAAAAGTACATGTCATCTGCATCTGTAAAGCTATAAGTGAATGTTCCTCGGGGGTGAACAGCCTAGAGGTTTGAGGAGCAACCTTTCAGAGGATGTTCACTATCATTCTTTCAAATGGTTTGATAATCACCTCGACCAGCACGGTTACTTTTTCATGTACAGCTACAAATGCAAAATTTACTGGATGGATTCTCACAAAACGTGGTGGAAGGATGTGGTATGAGTCAGGGAAGAATCTATCAAATTTGGTTATAGATCCAGGACATTTCACTTTCTTTAACATTGGAAGATAAGGCGTTATTTTTGACACTTCCATTCATTTCACTGGGAATAATTCATGGATCTTGACGATTTCTATGAGTGTGTGCAATTTGGTGCAGCCTAATTGAGCTTAAGGGGACTGTAGGGCCTCGGTGGAGGTATGGTGGAGGAGTACCCTTCTTGTTTGTTTATTTGTCAACAGGATTACGCAAAAAAACTCAGGATGGATTTTTACCAAACTTAACTGAAGGATGGGACATGGGCCGTGAACCCAGTAAATTTTGGTGCTGATCCAGATTTATTTTCACTTTTTAACATTGTTAGAGATCGAAAGGTTTTTTTTTAAATTGTTCTCAGAGAAATGATTAATGGATGTTGATGAAAAAAAAACAGGAGTCCTGTTTAGGGGGCTGATGTCCAGTGCGAGCAATTTGGTGCAGATCCAATTAAAAAAAACACAATCAAAATGGGCTTTCATAGGAGTGTGTTGCTTTGGCAGAGGCAATTCTAAAGTCACTGACATATTTAACTTGCAGAAAGAAGGATGAATTTATCAAAATGTTCAACTCTTCTTTTAACATGTACATGATCATATAGAAAGGCACTGAAGAGCGGAATATGACATGTTTGTGCTCGTTCCCAGGTTGTACCAGTGAACAGTACTGAACAAAATAGTTGACAAATGATATGAAGGTTTTAGAATAGAGGATATAATTGGGATTTAGGTGCATATCTGACAACATGAAGACGAATGGCAGCTATTCACAGAGCAATTCTACATGTATTTAGTGTGAGTTGTCAGTTTCGTGGAAGCTTATCTCGAAGCAGCAGCTCAGAGTGTGAATCATTTCAACACCCCTGTTAGGCCAGTAATACCACACACTTTTGAGGAAGTAGGAGATGAAAAAACATCACCTCCCTTTGGTGTTGAGAAAGAAATGGTTGATTTCCATCAAGTACTTGTACAATAACTACCTCAAACTACCGTCACCTGAAATATTCAGCCACTACAAAGAAGGAAGTGCTGCTCACATCCTGAGAGAAATTATCTGCAGTTGTTTAAACGTACTAATGACACGACTCTATGAGAAGATGTTGAATTGAGGATTTTGCTCATATACTGAAGAGGCAGGAGCTGTCTGCACCCTGCGCTCACATTCACAGGTTTAAACTGCAGATCAGAGAGTTTCTTGTTTCCTCAGCTGTCAGTCACTGGGTTTATTATTTACCACTTTTTGACTTTTGGAGTCTAAACCTGAATTCTCCAAGTGGGAGCATCTCAAAAAAGACAAAATCTGCCATTCAAGAGTCTTTTTCCAAAGGAAAAAAAGCAAACAAAGTAAATGAGATCATCATTTTAAACATTTGTAGAGACATCAGGAGTAGATTTTTAAAATTTTGGGTAATTTTGGATGTTTAATGTTACTATGGAGTTTTTATCTGGAGAATGAAATTGTGACAGTTACAATAATTCAAATTATAATGTTTGCTTTGGTAAACTCAGTTTTGTCTGTTTTTAAACATGCAAATGTATTAATATGCAACATGTATGATATGCTCTACATAGTATGTGTTGCGATATGTGCATTCACCATAAACTACCTTTTTCTTTTTGTCATATATATATATAACACAAATTTACATATTCACATGTATTAACCATATTGTCCTATATTCTAAAATATATATGTTCACAAGACTATTCTTTTACGTAAATATTGTGAGACCTCTATATGATAATCACTGTACAAGCAAATGTACAATTGTGAGAACTCCTACAATTATGTATATACACATACAGTCCATGTTGCCATGTCATCCTCATTGTAGACTGAGGGTACACCGCCACCTAGTGGCTCATTGCGACACTAACTACAACTGTAAAATGAATCAGTAAATTGGATTGAAGCTTGTAAAACACATGGACAAAAGCAGAATCATTTCTGATGAAATGTTTTCATGTTTCACATAATGCAGACATCGTAATAAAATACAGGAGGAAGAGTAATCAGTTTAATCTGACTTTTATTCTTTTATGAAAGAAAGACTATTAAGCAGCAAGATCTGATGAATAACCTGGGCAAGGCACTGTCTGTCAATTTACTGTATTCATTATGTTTCAGTCCGTTTTTTGATTCAAGATATTGAGTAGCATGTTTTATTACATTTCTTTTCCACTCGTGGTGACTGGAGTCCAAATGACACTCTGAGACTGTTAGAGGAAGGCTTAGGACACACGGTAAATCATTCAGTGCAGCATCATAGAAACTTATTGTCGAAAGCAGAGACACACACAGAGACAGAGGTGTCCCATAACAGCAACAACTACATGTTTACATTTCATGGCTGATACATGAACTACTGCACATAATTACACGCAAAGACACTGGATATCAAAAATGCATCCTGGTACAAATGACAGATGTTGATTCAATAACAGACATTCAAATTATTTATCACTAAAATACTTTGACCTTTGCAAAATAGTGTAAATAAATCTCAAACACTAAATTCTAAAAATCTATGAACAAGCTAAATTATTTACGTGGCTGAATGCCAAAAATGAATGGCACAAAGAAATGTTCAGTTTTCATGCAAAATGGTATTTTGGTACATTATATTACCTTTCAATCAATATACCAGAAACAGGAATTCCTGTGGCATCAGGCATTTCACGAGTCATGTCACAGACTTGTTCCATCAGCTTCCAGCCGCAGCACTGGGCTGTTCATTGACCTAATAATAAAATACTATTTTCAAAATGCTTTTCATTTTGAATCAAAAACTTTCACCTCTGACTGAAATACTTCAAGACTCTGATCATACAAAAATATCCTCAGAGGAGTCCTTTTTTGCACCTTTATCATATCTGAAAAATCCCAATTACAAAATACACAAATGCAATTAAATACACACAGTATACCAATAATCAATAATGCATGCATTGGAAATAGTGCCCTTAAAGGATAGCAGTTTTCTAAAGTTTTCCAGTGCATGTTAAATGAAGTTATTTTTTATTTTATGTATCAAATTCTTGGAAGATTTTGAGAAAAAAAACATAGTTGAGCATTTAAAACTGAACTCCAACTTTTAAAACTTTCTTGGCATTTGCTCATTCACAAAACCCAACTTAACAACTGGTGTTACAGTGTAATTCCTTCTGTGGGGCTGGTTGCATCAATGCAAAAGATTAAAATGTGTTTCTTTATCAAACAAACGTTTCACTAATGAGCAGATCCTAAAATGTAAAATAAGAGTCACACATCTATGGTAAAGTTAAAATCAACTTCAAACCTTTTTAACTGAATGTTGCATTGATCTGATGACAACAATTTAAAATCTGTTCCTCAGAGTAAGTAGGATAAAAAAATCTAATTCTTTACAAAAAACATTTTGCATTAGATATTTGCATCTGTAACAGAAATGAAATTTGTTTTTAATTTTGCATGCGAAAGTTAAATTGTGGATTTAATTTTTAGGATTTTCTTCAACAATTTACTTCAGTGAATTTTACACTGATGCTTTACAGTTGCAAACTGAGTTGAAGGTGTTAAGAAACATAAGAACAGACATTTGTCTTTGATTTCACATTCAGGTGTAAATACTGTGATGTTTGTAACAGCTGGAAGATTCTGAATAGAGTCAAATAAAAGTAAATCAATTGTAATTTTACAAAATATAATACTGCATTATGAATCCTTCAACCAAAGACTTCAGTCATTCCATATATTTTTGCTTATGAACAGTGCATTTGATATGTGTGTAAAACTATGAGTTGTGGGATAATTATCATTGTCTGAAAAATTCAGCTTACATGTGTTCAGCAGAAAAAAAGTTTCTAGGCAAAGCTTTTACACTGAAATTTTGGATTGCTCTGAGTCTTTGAAATCACGATAGAAAAATGTGACAGAAGTATATAAAGAAATCAAAACTGCTAACTCAATGTGTCATGGAATGAGGTGTGAGCCCATTACTATAAATGCTACATAAACCCCTTTGTGAGGAATGCACTATAAAATACAGTATGTCCCTTTTCAACCAGTGACTTGCCTAAATTCAAAGTTAGGAACGATAACAAATGGAATTTTCCAGATCCTTGTTTGTACGTTGTGCTATGCTTGTGCAGCCACGTCATGTTATGGATCTGATTTATTTGCGCACAGAGAAAAAAAACAGCTTGAGTGAGGCAGGACTGCAGTCCAGGCAGAAAGGCCCAGCTGTATGGGCTTTTGCATTGGCGAATGCGTACGTCACATCACATGCATTCGAACTCGTCAATGCGCTGTTTGGTGTTTCCTGACCGGATCTGTCTGAGGGTCTTGTACTTGTCTCGTCCAGCTCGCATGTTCTCTGCGTGGATGATGTCATTCACCGTTTTCTTGGTCTCATCCCGAGCGTTGGCCAACTCTGAGCTTAAAGCCTAAAATACAGTCATCGCCGTGTTAAAACAATGTTATTTTAGTGATTGATAGCTATAAACTGTCATCATGCAGTCTTTGCATTTTTTAAATTACGCATACATACAAGAAATGAGCAACTTACGAGTAGATGTTTCTGCAGACGTTCGTTCTTCTCAGCTTCGGTCATGCGCTCCTCTTCACTGCGGTCCTTGTACGTGGCAGCAGATGTGAACTCGGCGCTGGCCTCTGCGCTGCTCTCGTCATTCTCGTCGTGCTCGTTTTCTGCGTTGAGGGGCTCCTGAACGTGAGTGGCCATCACTTTGTGTTTAAGCTCTTCTTTGGTCTTCTCCAGGTCCTCCTGCACCTCGGTGGCCTGAGGGAACACAGAATAACGAGGTGGTCATATGTGTTATGTGAACAGAGATTCAGTGAATAGAAAACAGTCATCACTAATGCAAATGGATGAGAACAAGTACAGAGAAGCAGATGCTCAGACATCAATCATTGGCGTCCACAGAATTGGTTTCAAGTGCTGTAATGAATAAATACAACTCTCCTTTTCCTTATCCTGTTTTTTTCTATTTGTTTTCATAGTGCTGTGGACTGGCAGCTTTGGATTATTCCTAAGAGGTCTGGATGTTTTGTGTGTGTTTTCGTTATAAAAAGAAGTTTGGAAATCATTTGCAATAGTAAAGTGTTGAAATGACATTAAAAATTATTATTGAGTGTAACATTCTGACTAAGAAAGGACTGAGAAATCCAAAGATTGACTGACACTCCAATTGGACTCAATATATCAGCGTTTTTTCTTAATGCCATGTTTGCCTGTTTTGTTTTCTATAATATTTCTTATTTTATTGTCAACTTGTAATGATTGAAATGGATACAGGTACGTATGTATAAATCTCAGTGTTTGTGCTTGGTGGAAAAACAGCCAATTAAAAAGAGAATGGAACTTCAACGGAACTTTTGCCAGCGTGGAAACCACCACTTAGCACACCAGTCCTTTATGAGCCAGGACATCATAATGGGGCAAAAGAGTTCAACAGGATTTCCTCCAAACAAAGAGAACTGTCAGCACCACAAACAGTGTGAGTCACACACTGGCCAAAAAACATGGAGGGGCTGGGCTGGCACACACGCTTTTTACCAAAAAAGACATGAGGCGAGCTGGGAGCTTTCAACCCTGCCCCCCCCCAAAAGAACCACACACACAACACAACAACAGGACACCAGGAATGTGTGTCCTCGCTGTGTCACAAGGGAGGGGCTGAGTGATCACCAGCACAATGTCAGACAGATGCCATTTCATTTGTTATTCATCAAATTATTCATCTATTTTACTAATTGTATTAAAATGATGATATAAATTTATATTAAAATGTGTTTCTGTGTATTTAATCTTGAAGGTTTTGTGTTTCAATAACATGAAATATTCATATTTTCACATGTAAAAAGACTTCAACGTGATTTTGTGATTAAACTTTTTATCTATGACAATCAAGTGAACACATTATGCTCTTCAGTACTTTCATTTAAAAAAACTACAAATACAATAAACATCTGATGACCCCTGAATTATACTGAAGTTGTAGTATCTCAAACCGCACCTTGTGTTGCCACTGTGCCGCCTCATCTTCCTTCTTCTTTTTGGCGTCCTCAAGGAGAGAGATCTTTGAAGTCAGCTCAGCCAACTCTGTGGCCTGAAACAAGGACATTGTATTGATATCTCAAGCACGAGAACACACAATATTTCAGCCATCACATTCGTACATCTGGATGTTTAGCTTTAACATGTGTGATAAGACAAATTGTTTGCAATAACTGACCAGGTGTTCTTGGTTTTTCATCTGGTTCTCTGACTGCTGCATCAGTGCCATCTTGGCGTCCTCAGCACCCATCAGCTCACTCTCCAGGCGTTCAGCCTCCTCCTGTGCTCGCTTCCTCTCAAGCTCCAACTCCAAAGCCTTGTGTGTTTGTTCCTCCAGCTCTGTGCACACACATTCACACACACAGAGGCACAACAGGTAAGTGTCAGGTGAGAGAAACATGGCCACCATTCATTACTGCACGACAACAGATTTCTCTTGAATACAGACAAGTCACCCACCTTGCTGGGCTTTTTTTGTCTGCTCCTCAATCTGCTTTAATCTCTCCATTAATTCCTCCTTTTCCTTCTCAATCTTTTCCTTTTCCTTCTCAGCAACTTCTCGCTTCCTCTTCTCATTCTCCAGCAGAGCTCTGATGGACAGAGAGCAAACAAAACACAAGATGTACTATACAGCAATCAGGAGTCCTCTGGAAAGTAGAACACACATTAATCACAATTTTATACACAGGGTATTTAAAAATACACTAGTTTACACATCCCTATGGAAGAGTCTCAAAAAATGATCACACACAAGGCAGCGTTTCAGTGTTAGAATCAACAGCCTTTTGTTCTTGTGGCAAAAAACTAAACTGAGCCTCTTCTTGTACATATTTTTCTTGAATATACTAAATGATCTATAACACTAAAAGTCACACAGTGTGATCAAATCCATGAGTTAAATGTCTGCACTTTATTCTGACGAAAGCTTGTGACTCTTACCTTTCCATCTTCTTGTGATTCTTCTCCTCCCGAGCCTGAGCCTTCATCTGCTGCACTTCAATGGTGTCGGGTTTGCGGCGGCGCATATACAGCTCGTGGTTGCCCATGCACAGAGCCAGAATGCGCTTGTTGATGCGCAGTCTTGGAGCATAGAATACAAAGTCCTGAAAAAGCAACATGACAGGTTTTTATCACAACTCATACACAGACTTGTATTGAGTATTTAGTTGTAGTAAGCTGTTATGTTATTGAGGGTTAACATACAGGCGCTTTTTTGTCAATTGGTTTAATGACAAACTTCTTGTCATTGAAGGAAATGTTCCGTATTTCACTCCAGGGAAATCCAATTTTGGGTGTCATCCTGTTGAAGATAGTGTGAAAGTAAAAAGTCAGGGTCAGCTGCATTACTCTGGACAAGAATTTGTGATCATATTGTACACCAATAATGTACTTACTTGTCATTCTGTTCATAAATGTTGAGTCCTAGTGCATCAACTCCCAACCACAGCTCTGTTCCTTTCTTATTCTTGATGTTGAAGTAGTTGACTCCATACATCTCAAGGTCTTGAGCGATCTTCAGATACTCCATCATGGATTCCTCTCTGTGGACAAATAAGATGCATATTTTACCCCGGACACGAATACAAATAATCAGACAACACTGAGCTCCAGGTGGCAGGGATGTGTGAAATGTACAGCGACGAAGCCAAAAATAGGCCTTGACAAGAGCGTGACAATGAAGAGGAAAGAACAAGACACACATTTTCAAGGTTGTAGGGAGAGATTGTGACCTGGTGTTTGTATAAAGCTCCAAAGGCCAAATGCAATACTAAAGAGAAACTCTGGCACACACCCTAGACAATATCAGGTAACAATAGTCTCCCAAATGTACATTATAGCAAAAGTGTGAAAGATCTTCTTGTTATGGCAATAACAGAGCAAGGGGGCAAAGATGTTTCTTTCCTGTATATGTGTGCGTGTTTGTGAGTGTGTGTGAACATGTGTGCCCTTGATTACCTCATCATGCTCTTGTGCTCCTCGTGCCACACTTGGATCCTCTCCTCCCACTGCTCCTTGTTGAGTTTGTGCTGGTCCAGGACTCTGAGAACATAAGACATCCGAGTGTCAGGAGTCATGCAGAAGAGGAACACGTCTCTCTCACACACTCACACACACACACACACACACACACACAGGTGTGTCAGACTGATGTGAGGATCGTGATGATGAAACCTGTGTTACCTCTGAGGGAGCAGCTGTTCACTCGACAGGTAGCCCGGTACGTGGACTTCCTTATTGTAGTCGGCATACTTGGCCTGGACTGCGTAGGAGGCCAGCAGGACAGCCGTCTCTGGAGGACAGTAGATGTCGTCATTTAAGATTCCCTCTTTCACCTGCAGGAAGAACAGCCGCTGCGTGGCATCCTGGATTAACTCCTCTGTAACATCCTCAGGGAAGAATTTGGCACGGAACTTAAACAGCAGCGGGCTTTCCTTCCTCACATCCTGGGCTGTCACCTAAAATAAAACGTGACACAGATGAGAGGTTACATTTCTGGAAATAGACCTGAGTTACACAGAATAGTTAAATCTTGACAAAGATGAGCAAAGGGTGTAAAGTAAAATAATCGTAAATATTGACGAGTTACCTTCTTATTGAGCTTGAGCCATGTAGAAAAACCCTTTGTATCCTGGTATTGGAGTCCAAAGTACCAAACCTCTCGCAGCCCAATGGTCTTTACCACCTTCAAACATAAAAGCAGAATCATTAATAATAATGTATTACTTTTATGAGCAGACTATTACTGTTTCTTCACTCCAGATCATTAGTATCCTCCACTCCTCACAAAAATGGAAAAAAAAAAACAAATATAAATAATTATAATAATAATAATATAATTAGAAAATAAATCTACACATAACTGCATATCTTAAAGTATAATTTAAAAATAAGTGCTGGGTTTTTGACAGTATTACACAGAAAAAACAAACAAACATTTTAAAATCTGAATATTCAGAATTTCAGCTTCCAAATCAAGTTTGATTCAAAGGTTTGTTACTGTCATTGGCAGGACATCATATAATTCTGGTCACATCATTAGTTGGAAGTTTCTATACCTGGTCAAAGAGCTGTTTTCCTGTTGTATTGGGCTGAATGGCGAACTCCAGCTCAGCATCCATCGTGGTGACTCTTACACTAATCTGAAGAGGAGAGCAAAGTATAAGAATGAGCCATTTTTCAAGATAAATCATGTTCTTCTGGTCACTGAAAGTAAATACTGTACAAATATCACATCTCTGTGTTAACATCAGCCATCAAATTCTTCATTATTACTCCCACCATGATCAAGAGTTTAATACCTCACACAAGAAAGTTATGTTTATATGTGTTTCTCTTTCTGAGTCAGCAGGATTAAACAAAAACTATGTCATCAAAGGGTCTAGGAAATCCCATTAAATTTTGGTGAGGATCTGGATCAGGGGATGAATAGAGGAATTTTTCTTTAACTTTCTTTACGATTGCAATAAAGGGCGTTTTACATTTTCACAGATTTTCCAGGGAATACCTCTGGCAAAAGAAAGGCATCTGGAGTCAAGTTCACATTACCACTTAACTTTCTATACACATGGTTTGATTTTTGATTGATTGATTTTAAATTTAGTCATCATCACACATTGAACAAGTATAAATAATATAATGTAAACAAAGTCTAAATTGACTGAAAAGGCTCAGGTAGAAGCAAATACTGTACATGCCTGTCTATATTCTTATCAAATTAAGCTACCCTCCATAGCCCAAAAGTAAAGTCAAACAATATTTCAAAAACCAACACCTAATTAGAAATTTTTAAGTTTACATTGGCTTTGTTCCACAGTTTTAATCCAACAATAAAGACGCATCTATTTTGACTTTAAATTCAGCTAAATAAATCAAAGAGCAACCCTCAATACACAAGTTAACTTCACAGTCCAATAAATCAATAATCATATCAAGATTATTTTATATTATATCTACAAAGGGATCACATGTCTTGGCTCCACACAGTGTCTGATAAATGTGTCAGTGTGGCTCTGTCTCAGTATAGAACTACATCTACAGGAAGTGACCACATCCTCTGGTGGCTGGGCCTTGTGAGGCACCACTGCTGCTGTTGCTGCTACTGAACACTGAGCTCTCTTGAGTCTGCACTTCCTGCCATGTATCATGCAACCTGTCAGCTTAATGCTAAGCTAAGGACACACTGTGAAGTAGGTTTGCTGCCTCTGCAGTTAACATGCTCCTATATGCAGTGAGATACCTTTTTATTATTGTGGATTGCCAAACTATATGTCACAAGTTGAAAACATTTATTTAATACCAGCATTCCCCTCAATGAGAAGAATAAATTGACTAAACAGACTATGTAGGCAGTTCTCATTTTCTCTGTCCTCTTAGAGATGTGGAGAACGGCAGCATGCACATCTATTGGGAAATAACTGCGCAGGCTGAGGCCCACGCCTGCCCTCAACAACAATGGCATGCATTATCTCCTAGTTACTGGCTGATTAGAGTTGCGTTCTTTACCATTCATGTCAGCAGGACCCCATTTACTGCTCAGGACACTTGCCCCACTGTCACTTCCTGTCATCACCTACAGTTTAAGCTGGAGTGAAACCTAAAATCTGGGCCCACACTGAACATTACATATGTCTAGAATCATCTACACAAACAAACAAATATTTACACGGCCTTAGATGAACATTTTTTCATGAATGCAGATAGGCGTTCAGCTTGTGACTACCCTGCTTAGGTGTAAGCACTTTCATTTCCTGAGTCTGAGAGGCCAACCTCGCATGAAAAAGGAACTGCAATGTTCTGTCTGGTTAGGGTGTGTCTCTCATGGCGAGAATTTAAAAAACACAACCCACTATTATTAGAACATGCTCAGTAACACCCCTCTCAGACCCACGTGTCTGTTTCCATGACTTGTTCTCCACTGTTTTTTTTAATCACACCAAAACTATTCTCAACAAAAAAAGTTTCTCAAGTTTCAACAAGCTATATACTGTTAGTATTGGCATATAAAAACAGTATTTATAATAAATGTACTTGATGATAAGTAATTGGTTTGTTTAATGATTTGTGGAGTACAGAGCTTTCTTTGAGAACACTGTGTTTCCCTGACTGAGACTTCATGATATTTTTAACATTTGCTTTATCCTTACTATTACTTTATCCTTAGATGCGATGATCTAACTGGTCTTTGATTTATCAAACTAACTCATCTCTTCTTGGCTGATTCACTTCACTTAATGAAACATGATGTGATTTTCTCCCACAATACAATTGATATTTGTTAAGTCCTCTACCACAAAACAAACAGCACAAATAAAACCTAATTACTGATATTAAATTATACGAAATATAAAAATGATATGCTTTAATAGGTAACATGTTATTTAAAATATACCTATTAATCAAATCATATTCACATAGTTTTCACAAGATAATTGTACAAAACCAGACTTAAATACATGATTGGCTATAAAAACTCATGCTAGCAGCGGTATGAGACAACATATACCATGTTCAGCATTTTAGTTTGTGTTTTAGTATGGCTAAAACTCACTTTAATTCACAAATCTGCACAGTAAGAAGTTAATTCAGTTAATTTGATTGGCCAATGGAAGAAGGCTAAAACAGAAAACATGAGAGCTGCATGACCGAATCAACCCATCAAGACAGAAAATTATAAGTACTGACTATCGTTTGAAGGGAGTGGAGAAGTTTGTTTTATAATTATATGGTTATTTACTTCTATGATGGAGAGGTCAACCCAAGAGTGAACCCTTACAAACAACTCTGGAAGAGGAGGGGAAACTACTAGGGAGGTGATTTTTTTATTTTTTGTTGCAGAACAGCTCTGAAACTGTGATGTAAGTATGGTTAGGATACTATTATACTATTTTTATCTACTGAGATTCAATTTAAAAAACAATCGCACACCATATACTTTAAGTTACAGAGACAATTTGACAGGGAGATTAATAGTAAAACACATTTGCCGGGAACACTACACATTGCAGCATTCCGTCAGTCACCATCATGGACATGAAGATGAACAAATTAAACTAAAATATTGGTGTGCTGCCATTTTGTGCTTTTGATATCATTTCGAGCTAAATCTGTAGAGTAGTGATCCTAGTGTGGAGCTGTGGTATCATGGTCCCATCGATACCAACGCCTGACCAATCGCAAATCAGTCTCAGCTGTCCATCAATAGTTTCGCCCTGTTTTTATAGCATCAAATCACTAATAAAAAATAAACAAAATGAATACTTGAATATACATCATTGTAATTACAGTAACCATCTTTGCCTTTAACTTTAAATTACTTTGACATTTTAGTTTGGTCCATGATTCTGCTTCACCTTTGGGTTGTTCATCTTTATATACAGTGTAAGGTCACCACCCTTAAACTGCCACACTAGTTTTATGTCAGCTCAAAGCCACAATCCCTCCAACTAAAGCCAAGACAACAAAAGAGATACGACTAAGTTGTTAAGAATGGCCCCCAGTACAGAGAAAAATAATCCTGGTTAATTATATATTACCAAACCTGCACCCCAAAGATGTCCAGTGTAACAATATAAGGGCAAACCTCTTTATGAGTGGTCAACTGAGCACAGCAACCATCTTCACTGCAACAAATACAGTCAGACTATCTAAACATATGATAACTGATAAATCTGAGTCATACTTCCCAGTCATGCCGTCCCTAATAGTCATTCAAGTTCAGCAAATAAGTCAACAAGTCCTGAACAATGGATCCACCCTGGTAACCACAGCAACCATGCTGACAACCCATCGCTGCCTCAGCTTATCTGAGAGACAAACTGTAGACAAAAAGAGGACAAACACACAATCTAATCAGCTCACGTTGAATGGTTATGTGACAAATTTGCAGTTAGTATTTGAAAAATCTGGCCTCTATCTGTGTCACTGCCAGCCACTTACATACAGTTAACAGTTTAGGTAATGCCAAGCTGAATTTGAAGTGTGAAATTGTGATGGTGAAGATCCTTTGTGAAGCACAGCAAGATAGCCTTGTTATGATGTGGCACAAAGCAAATAATATAAGGAGATTCTTGTAGAAAGATACTAATCCTGCACAGGCAGTATATTACCCTCTACTAGAATACTGACTTTGGAGTACGACAGCAGAAAATATGTAAGCAGGATATAACTTACATTTCTAGGTAAAAGGCAGGTTAAGCATAGAGCAAAAATACAATTCAAAAGTGCTTCACTAATTTACATCTGAAAACAGATGTTGGTGGCTGAAGAGAACAAACTGGGTGACAGGAACGGGGGGGATGGAGAGGAGGATGTGGTTTCTCTCTAAGTGGGGGACAGTGCACATCTTTTAGAGCTGATTCCCACGACCACTGCTCTCTTAAGTTCATTAGATCTCCCTCTAAGTATAATGAAACAGCCTCTAGTCGTAGACACTGCTGCTTCATCCTCGACCATCATCTGCATTCTGCTGACAACTCGAATCATCAGTGTGTTCAACTCGTATCATCAGTGTGTTCAACTCGTATCATCAGTGTGTTCAACTCGTATCATCAGTGTGTTCGCCTCACTTTTCATTACAAAATGTATGTTTCTTCCATTTTCCAATGCTGTTTGCTATTGTGTTTTGTATGTAGTATTGATTCCTACTCATTCTAGTAGATTTAAGCCCATATTATAGCAGGTCAGTGGTATTTACTTCATTACACACATTAACTGGGGCACGCATTAACTACTACACAGCAGCAGATCTATAGGTGGTCTGTGCTGAGGGACTCAGGATCATCGGGAGATTAAGGGAAGGAAACAAAGTTTACCACAGAAAGACGAGACATCGACTGATACAAACCACATGCCGGTCTGTCTGCAATGTGCTCACTTGACTGCTTTGCTTAAATTATTCTTTTATAGTACACAGTTTGAACCTTGTTGGCTCGAAGGTTGTACTTGATACTATA